AGTCGGGCCGGGCTATTTTGACAAAACCCGAGCCCGGCTCGAATTTATTGCGGGCCGGGCTTTTTGGCCCGAATTTAAGCCCGCGGGCCTATAAAAATGTCCAAGCCCGTCCGGGGGTCGGGCCGGCCCGTCGGGCCACCCGGCCCATGAACAGGTCTAGGCACAACAGAACCCAGTCGCCTCTATGGCATGGGCTGACTCCGAGAGTGGGCCACGAGCCACTCCTCCAACCTAAGAGCTGAAACGCCGAGCTAATGAAGAAACCTCGGCAGCATACAAAATTAAGTTACCCCATCAGCATGAACTAAGTACTTGCAGCGCCTGAGGTGCAGGCGGCTCGGGCACGAACCTTACAACAAATAGCCCGCCCTGGCATGCAAAGAGTTGGACCCGCTTAGGATAATAGACGGCAACCTACCTCGGGTGTAGACAGGTCGGGCATGCGCCCTACTATGTCCCTCACCCTGGCGTACACGAGGCTACCCCTACTAAACAATTCGGGGTCACGATGGCCGTTAAGGAACACCCACTTCGGAAGTTCAACTCGATAGGTAACAGCTTGGGGTGAGATAACCGTTTCGACAAAAATGATATGCACAAACTTTTGACAAAAGGAAAAAATTTCTTCATTGTAGAAAATTCATTACATAAATTTCATTAAGAACGTCTTGATTACAAGGGAGATTAAGTTTACAAATACAGGGAGCAAAGTACTTCGGAAGCTCGTTGCCTCTGTTAGGGACCTCCTCGGGGGCAATAACTGGGCCAGCATCCTCTGCTTCATCTTCGGCGCCCTCATCTTTAGAATCCGGATCATATTTTGACTGACGCACGATGTCGTCAGTGATCCGAGAAGTGGTGATGGCGCTCGAATCCAGGTCGAGGTAGAGGTGCCTAATTAGCCACCGACTGAGCTTGAAGCCCTTGCGGTAGGCCTCGGTCATCACGTCGTCAAACCTCGAAGATTTGACATAGTCGATGACGGCCTGAGTCTTGGCCTCCTTGAGAGCACCCTCGAAGATCGCGGTCTTCTCTCTTACATCTTCTTGGAGGTACTCCACCTCGTGCTCCAGCTTCCCCTTTGCCTCCTTGAGGCCTTGTATCTCGAGCTTCAGGGCATCCCGCTCAGCCTTGAGGCTGTTCACCTCAAGCCCTAAGGCCTCTTGACCGACCTTGAGCCCGTTTACCTCAGCCCTCAGCTTATCTTTGTCTTGGGCCAACTCCCCCTTCTCTGCCATTAACACCTCGATGAAGCTCTTCTGAGCCGAGGCGTCACTCTCCAGGCGGTGGACCTGACAGCGAGCTGCCCTCAACTCAGTATGGGCTGCGCGAGATGACTTCTCAGCCTCCAGAGCCCGCCTCAGGTGCTGATCTGATTGAAGGGTCAAGGCGCGAATGGCGGTGTTCACCTGCAAAAGGGAAACCGGTCAAGAGAAGAGAAGAAAAGAGAAGGGAGACTCACCACCATAGTATGAGTGGCAACTCGGGCACCGAGCTGACCTGGAGTGAGTTCAGCCCACTCGCTGACCTCCCCCGGGTATGCAGCCAGCTTGCTCTTCTCCAGGCTGCAGTGAGGGTTCAGGACAATTTGACTCCCCTGGCCCTCCGAACTAGATGCCATCATCTCTACGTCGTGAGTGGAACTCTCAGAGGCCTCAGCAGCAGCTTCGGCAGGACGAGCCCCTGCAGCAAAGGCCTCGGCAACGCTCTCAGCAACAGGCTCGGTGGGCTTAGTAGCAGGTTCGGTGGGCCTAACAGCAGGCTCCGCTACCACCTCGGGCCCCGGAGCTGAAGTCTGTGGAGGTTGGGCCTCGGATGATGCTTGCAGGGACCTAACGCACGCCTTCTTGGCTACGCGTTTCTTTCTCTTCATCTAGCGGAAGAGCTTCTGGCTATCTATTCTCTCCGCCTCCTTGGAACTTGCAGCAAGACACGGCATCAGCAATCCGAAGTAAACACACGTGCAAAAGGCCTAAGTAAAGCGAAACCTACCCGAGCTCAAGCCGGCCTGGACGAGCTTCTCCTCGGATTTGAAGTCTTTATAATTCAACCCGAGCTGAGCAAGTGACTGGAGCGCCTTCTTGGTCTTCCCGTCTAGGATGACACCGGAGTCTTGAACGGCCATCCTCCAATCAGTGGGGAAGGGCCACCCTGTGCTGCTCCGAACTACGAAGTAGTCCTGCTTCCAAGCTGGGACAGCTTGTGCATGAGTTTGAAATCCGGGCGGGGGGACAGGTAGTAGGACCGCCTGTGCCCGGGGAGAGCGCCCGAAGCACTCTTCTTTATGGCCAAAATTGTGCTAAGAATATCTAAATCTATGGAGAGAGAACGGTCAAAGCAAAGAGAAATGGACCCCACAACATTCCGTATGGAGTTTGGGTGGAGTTGGTCCAGGGTGATGTTAAAGTGTACCAACACCTCAACGATCAAAGGGTGAAGAGGAAGTTGGAGCCCAGCTATTAGTTGTTCCCTGGAGATCACGATCTCGTCAGGACCGTGCTCCCATGGAAAGTTACCGGTGAGAAGGCCATATGAGTATTCCTTAGGGAGGTGTCACCTCAGAGGCAGCCCGGCGCAGGGTAACCTGCGAAAGGGTTGTTCGGCCTACCGCCGAAAGATCTCCTGCCCGACAACCGTACCCGACAAATCTGGGGGCAACAGCCATGTCCCTCGTCAGGCATCGTCGCGCCTGGCACCTTTAGAAGGTGCCTTGCACCTGACAGGCACGTACCCTGCGACGACGGCCCCGCGTGTGCCACCTCAACCTTGCTTGTAACGGCTGTGGCAGACTGACAGTGGCGGTTATACC